TGAACTGCCATCTTGTACTTGTAAATCTTAACCCCGCACAACACACCACATCTATCATGCCATCATGTCAAAAGCACGAGAATCTCATTTTCAACTCTGAGTCACCAGCAAATTACAAACCCTGTTAGTTAAAAACCTTCCTCTTTCTTCCTTCTAGGAGATAATCACAATACACAACACGTTTCCCACACCGATAGAAAATATTCTGTTCAAACCATGGTAGAAACCATCAAGAACACTTTGAAATCCATTTGCACATAACCAAGCTATCAGAATTGAATTCATCTAACTCGACCAAACCATGCAGGTTGCCAAATCCGAGAGTATTGCCATAAAACACCCGTAAAGCCTCACCTCATCATAAGAACCAAAAGACCGAGCATACCATTACCATACTGATCAAGCATGTTACCCATTTGTCCTATTTTCTCCAATTTTTTTCTGAATTACCCTCACATTGACACTTCTCCTTGTCACAACACCACAATCCTTACTCAAAGCTCACCACCAGAGATCCTAGCATAAACCACATTGCCCTAAAGCTCATAAGCTATTGTATTCCCTCTTAAGCACCACAGAAGTACCACAACCGAGACACCCACTCTGAAAGACCTTATGTGAATTTAAAATTATTCGTTTTACCTTTCTTATACTGAAATGTAGAATCCATAGTCATACAGAATTACCACAAGTCCCGGCACTATCAAATGCAAATCTCAGATTCTATCCATATACAAGTCCAGAAAAATTCTCAATTTCTATATATAAATCTCGAACCCATTAGAACCTTCTCGAGAGTCATCCACCTTGCTCAAATCTAAATTGCACCATCCAAACGAGCCGAAAGACACATGCCCCATTAGCACAACAACACCAAAGAAGTAACCCTACCTTAACACCACCAATCGATTCATACTCCGTGCGCACTACATCCTTCACAAATAACAACTCACTCATCCCATGATTTTCATATACTCATAAAGTGCAATATAACCCGTATTCAGGAATTTCATTACTCTAGTATTCCTCGATCTCAAACTCTGCAAGTCATAACTAACCCACAAGTATGCCTCAGACCAAAAATAATACAACATAACCGCGCAATCAAATCGTAGATAGTAGACTCCCGAACTTGGATCAAAGCCGTAGAATAAAATATCTGATAACTCACAATACCCATACCGTATTACTGCCATGATACTGCAGTCAGTTCAACAAAAATTCTTCTCAAGCTTATGCAATACCAACCATAAAATACCTCAACCATCCGCTAAGCTCGCATTTATTCTATTGACAGTCAAGTCAACTTTCTCACCCAGATTCAAATTCAAATCTCAACATATACACCCCGCTGCTAGCAAAGAAACTCTCCCCTCAACATTATAAGGATCATACCTTTGTAGGAGATAACCCATCTGCATAGCCTCAAATTGGCATCTTGATATACCTTTTCGCAGCCACAATCACTACGAGATCACTTAATCTTCCCGAGTCTAAATTCATCAACAGGACATGAGAATATAATTTCTCCCACAATTTAACAACGTGAAAGATTCTTTAACACACTAATAACTCGAGACTATATATCAAATCAAGATGGAAATCAAGCACCCAATGGCCCTTTTGACATATCGAGAAACTCTTCTCGTCACATTCAAACCATCTGAACGCATCCCGCAGTTGCATTATACTCATCATTCAGCCATTCCACCGCTCATCGAGCCATAAACTCCACTCATAGGGACACTACTAGGTGCATAAGCCCAAATGTACAAGTTCTCATAATCGAAGCTACCGAGCTTAAGCTGCGGCCCTAACCCTGGAGTCAAGTCCTCCAGACTGGCCCATCACCAAAACACAGAATACTCATCTCGAACCTCGTTCATGGAATCACAAATCGGTGATGCACAGCTGATCCTGAGCATTCACATGCGCACACGAATGCGTGGAAGGAATTCAAGAGTTATATTTCAAGCTGAATCAATTCCGCACGATAAACAAAGAAAGATGGAAAATAATCCTAAATGCCCTGTAGCCTCTCGAAGATAAGTATGGACGTCATCATACTGATCCACAAGACTCTTGCTCATGACTTGTAGAACCTATGAACCTAGAGCTCTGATACCAATCTGTCACGACCCAATATTCGACCAGTCGTGATGGCACCTAACCCAACCCATTAGCTAAGCCAATTAACTTCAACCCAATTTAATTAGGTTTATCGAGGAAAATAAATGATAAAATAACTGAACCTTTCTACTTTTCCTAAGGACTGATAGTACAAATCATGAGCTTCTAAGATTATAATTTACAAAGCTGGTGTGAAATGCAAGTACGTCATCTGTTTGAATATACATGAACAAATTTAATAATTCTAAAGCTACGTAGAACAAGGGGCAGTTGTGACTAGATCGCAGGTACATCTTTATTGCTAGCTCCCACCATGTACAACAATATCAACATCCAAAATCTGCACGCAAGGTGCAGAAGTGTAGTATGACTACAACCGACCCCATGTACTAGTAAGTATTTTGTCTAACCTCATCGAAGTATTAACGAAGATTTTTAGTAAAATGATACTCGCTGTTATAACCTGTATAGTAGACTAGTAATAGAAACAGTTATAGATCATAACAGATAAAGATACAATAAAACAGCTATGCGAGGCAGTATATGATTACTAGGAGAAGTCATAGTACTAAATTCATAATTTTTCTGGTGTGAGAAATATATTCAAGATATCAAATTGAATGGAACGGTAATACCTTAGTGCACTTATCTCATTCTCACCCAATATATANCATATAACAGTACCAACTAGGTAGGAGAAATGCCAATAACAATAAAAATAATTAAAAGTGGGAGGCACACATGAAGCAACAACGAACATAGCAGTACATATGGACCACGAAAATAGACTGGGGAAAAGGCATAGAAATTATGACAACAATTAGAAAGGAAGAATATAAATTTCACTAATTAGCATGTAGAAGGCTCAGATGCAAATATAACAAATAAGAAGAAAATCATAATATTTGCAAGTTAAACAGATAGAAGGCATGGATACACAGCAACACTTGGGGTAGAGGACATAGAAAGAACAACGACTACAAGTCACATAGAAAACATAGGTGCACAATAACAGCTCAAGATAAAGGCATGAATGTATATACAACGAAACGATATCACAATATAATGTATATCTCTTGTCCTCGCCTGTACGGAAACACCCTTCGTGCCATGAACATATGATAATATAAAATAATAGCACGACATCACCCTTCGTGCTTTTACTCTTATCCTCACATGACAATGTATATGAAATGGCACGGCATTATCTTTCGTGCATATTAATGTATATGAATGGCACGACATCACCCTTCGTGCTTTTACTCTTATCCTCACATGACAATGTATATGAAATGGCACGGCATTATCTTTCGTGCATATTAATGTATATGAATGGCACGACATCACCCTCTGTGCTTTATACTGTTCCTCACATAATAATATAACTGAAATGGCACGGCATCACCCTTCGTGTTTTTCACTCTCCCTTGCATGATAATGTATATGAAATGACACAGCATCACCCTTCGTGCTTTACACTCTTCCTTACCAATCACATGTATATCATTAACAAGCAAGTAGGAAGCATAAATAATATCAAGGAGAGTGTTTAAACAAATGTTCCAAATTGAACATCAATCTCGGCTTTCAAGCCAATAACAATTCAATAAACTTCGAGTACTTTATTATTCCGGTATTTCAACAAGTCTCAAAAATGATCTTCAACTCATGTATAGAATTCAAAATCTCAAGGATAACGGTCGTAGAGTCATATTTGTGATTAAGTATAATAACGACCGGGTTTAACACATCAATAATTTTACAAAAGTCCGTCAGATTTTTAATCAAATTATAATAAGCCAAATCAAGGTTTCTAGAATTTAATGTCATATTCATAGAAATCTAGAAGTCAAAGAAGATATAAAACAAGAGTGTCACATAATTCTACAAAGCACAATAAATTTCTTTGGCTTGAATCGATGCGTACTTAATTGTAAGGGTAGAATTGTAAGTTTAAGCTAAATTGTTTCCAAATTTAGAAATGAGTCATTCTTTTTGGAACGAACCAAAAAAGAAATAGGTTCACATAAAGTAGAATGGAGGGAGTATCTAATTTGGTTAGCAAGATGCATGAGTCTAACTATTTGATTTGATTGTAACAAAAGCATGTTCGAAATCTCAAGTAGTATGTACTTAATTTAATTAGAATAAAGTACCTACATGATTGAATTATTTGGTTTAACTAAGCATACTAGTATATATCATTTACCTTAGGAAATGATCATGTCATACTATTATCTATGACCATGACTAACTTAATTGGCTAAGTATACACCTATGTAAACTAATCATATTATAATACACATACAATAACCTAAATATATGCACAAACTTCATGAATTTCCTAACATACAACATCATAATTTTAATCCGATTATTAACTATATACGATTCACCCTAAGTTTTTGGAAAATAGATAATATCGAAAGCAAGCAAGCATAATATCTATCTATAACTTTACTATGTTTTGTGTTTCGAGTACATATGAGAACGAGAAGTACAAAGCGGAAAATTTGGTGGGGTTTGCTTTCATCTCTGAGCGTCGTCTTTCCAAAGCGTTTTCGTATAAAGTACCTCGCAAGATAAGAGAAATGAAATTATTAGCGAAACAATACAATGTGAAAGATAAACTAATAAAGAGACATGTTTTTTGAAATGATTTTTGTTTTAAAATGTTTTAGGAAAATTTCTCTTGAAATGATATGAAAATGTTTTTGTTTTAGAGAGATTGTTTGAAAAAAAATGTTTTTGAGAAATTGTTTGAAAACATTTGGAAATTATTTTTGGAAAATAATTTTGGAAAATGGTTTAAAAATAATATAGGTGGTTCAGATACATGTAATATTCGATATTAGTCTAGACATGAAAACGAGAACTATCTTGGCTGTGACTACGGCGGCCGACCGTGTCGCCCTCCAACTGTTTTATTGGCTCATCTCATCGTCGTCTTTTATTTTTCGATGTTTTTTATCATCGCCTCGTTATTTAGGGCTCAATTCGGAGGGTCATTCGATAGGTCGTGGCCTCAAAAAATTATTCTCATCGGCTGTGTCAAGTTAGTATCGTTCAAAGCGTCTGCCATCCCAAACGGTCAAACAAACAAGTAAAGTAACATCTGTAACACTGTGCAAACGACACTGTCAAAACCAATACTGTGAATTAACCAAACTAGCGAGAACAAAAGCGAAGCCAGAACTTGAAAATATCAGCCAACAAAACAAAAAGCCACATAAACAGCAAAACAGACGAAGGCCAACAGAAACGACCAAAACACTCAGTCGCCGGAAAATCCAAACAAACACTAGAATTAGTAGCAAAATAGCTATAACAGTAGTATTAAACAATGTATTATGGTGGAAAAAGCCACACGAAAACCAAATCTGAGCGCTCTCACAGTGGCCAAAGTACATGGCTCATCGGAAAACGTGTGGTCCAACCAGATCTGATTTTGAACGAGACGAAGAACGACTCAGCGACACTGGCCGGCGGAGTTACTGTAACAGTGACGGTACCGGAACAGCGCCTGCACTACCAAGACAACAGGTTTCGCCAGAGTTAACAGAGTTCATTGGAAAAATGAAAAATTTGGTCAGATCTAAGAGCAGCTCCGACGAAATAGTAGCCTGTAGCGATTCCCGAACGGGAAAAGCTATAAAAATGAACTAAGAAATCAAGGAAAAGAAAACAGAGAAAACAAGAAGATAAAATTTGATTTTTCATTCAACTGGAAATGGATGAGTAAAAAGGAATATAGAGAAAACAGAAATAACTTCCTAACAAACTAGACACTTGGATGCTAATTATGCTTCTACCTTCAGGGATTCAACAGCAAATAACTAAGGACTCAATTTGACAATAAGTAATCTAATAATCTTAGAATTATAATTAATTAGACTTCAGAGACTAAACCTCTAAAGACCAGTATTTATTTTCAAAACCACAATACGTCTCCACTATTACATTCCATACCTCTTTAAAACAAACCTTGTCCTCATGGTTTGGATACTGCAAATTGCAACAGAATAGTCTTGTAAAGTCGTAATCATGGCCGACTTGCAAATAGAGAAAAATTAGTGTGTACTTGTTTGTAGCAGCAGTGATGTTCTTATGCCCACTTCCTTACATTTTGTTACTCAAAATATCATTGGCAATCAATTGCACATGTAAAATCTGATAGAAGGATCCCATTAGACATTGGAAGAATTCATTCAAGTCAAAAACACTAATAGCTTCAATGCTAGGAAGAAAAGAAGCAATATGCAATAGACAACATTTTCTGGTTTCTTCACCAGCTTCTTTACAAAGAAGACCACCTTGAACACATTGCAGTAATACTCTCCGCCACCAACATCTATGATGAATGTAACCAGCAACTACCAAGACCAATATGCTTCCACTACCAATGAACAAAGTAAAAGCTTTGATTGAACTACTATCCCCATTTGCATTTAGGAGAACATCGGTCCCTCTTGAACTATTCTGAACAAACCAATAAACTTTTGTTTCTTGAATTAATACATAATGACTAACAAAAGAAACAGAACCAGTTGATAGCTGCTTGTTTTTTACCATCTCGTTAATAAAGAATATAGCCTTCTTTGGGTAACCACAATGTGATTGCTATGTTAGTCCAGAATTTCCCTTGATTTTAATCTCAGAATGATTCACCTCTATGCCACTAGAAGATGAAAGAAGTGATATGACAGAAGTGTGAAATTCATTATATGTGCAAGTGCCAAATACTACAAGAATGAAAATTTCACCAGAAGATTCTACCACTTCAAGGATATCAAAATATTTGCAACCTGAATGAAGAGGTCTCATTTTTGGCAACTTAACACTGACATCTAAAACATTCTCCATTTGTTCAAAATTTCTCAAGAATTCCCCTGTACAAGTAAAATGTAGTCGTTGAGGCTTCGTCTTTTGGTCTTCGCTCCTTGATGCCAATGTTTTCCACACATAAATTAATGAGCAGACATATCTACAAGCAACCAATGTAACTAAAAAGCTAACATGATCATAAATCATTTGCCCAATTAATTCTGCAGCCTCAACTCCAACATCTATTGTCCTATCAAACATATCCTTCATGCACTAGGTCTCACAACCTTCAAACCTTGTTGCTAGAGTAGTGGTTCCTTGGCCAGTGTCCAGCGAAATACATTTATACCCACGCTGAACCAATTCTTCTCTCAATGATTCTGATGACCAATGCAAAACTTCTAGTTGCTGTTGAACTCTAGCAATAGAAGTCATAACCCCACATACCCAAGCAACCAGGTGTACAACGCTTGCTGTACTCCAATATACAGTACATTGCATCGCCATTTTCATTTGAACAGTATGATCACCAATATAGATAATACTCACAGTAAGCAGCACCTCAAAGGTACCATCACTGTCTTCACATCCTGATTGAAGAGAGGTGCTTCCTCCAATATCATTATCCATAATTACTTTCCTACTCGAACATGTAAATTGAGAAAACCACAACACTACTGTCTTATTAGCATCACGGATTACTTCATAACTGCTTCCATCCAATGGATTAGTCTTTGCCGCTAATAAACAATCCATCATTGGAAAGCGAGGCTTCATGTCGCTCTCTCTTGAGCATATTATCATCATTGCTTGCCTTGTGTCCAGCGAATTACTGTCCATATTCACCAGTAGTATTGCCGTGTCCTCTAACAAATTTCCTTTATACATGCCCAAGTAATTTTGGACGCACCAAATGTATCGATTAGCACCAGATATTGGACTTGGACCCTTAGCTACAGCTTCTTTTCGACTTGCCATACTATCACGAACTAACTTGTCAAAAACCAACTTACTAGTCACATTGTTGATGAGGCTTCATACGAAGAATTACATTAAGCCTTTCAGTTTCGTTCAACTCCTTCCGAGTGGCTTGATCAATAGCACTAGAGAACCTTCCCCTTAGCTCATATAACCAGAGTTCAGCTAATACAAAACTCTCGCAATTGAGTTCACTTTGAGCTTTTGTAAGGAAAAGATCAGTTAATGTCAGTATAGTAACCAGAAATCCAACTTTATCTTCGTGGGAACAATTGTGAAACACTTGCCTCTCTTTATTTCCAGAATTTTCCTCATATTCACTTTTGATCCCAACTGGAACCTTCTTATTCCAATTCTCTGGTTTCACAACATCTGGATCAATTTCAAAAACCTGGTCCTTATTGCAATTGGAAAATGCAAGGGATGTATAATGTACCTCCGAAATTTTAGCACCCAATACTGGTGTAGCTACTGGCGAAACACCAGGTGGAAAAATGACAAATAATCCTGCATCTTCAATTACCCTTCCTCCATCCTCTTGACCTGCTTGACCTGAAGTTTCCTCAGCATCCCTTGATTGTAAGTCCCTATGCTCATGCAAAGTGTCGACTCATTTTCCCGAATCCTCTTGCCCAAGGCCAGTGGAATTACTCCCGACTCCATTAGCAAACACCTCAGAACTTACCACATCCGCCATTATCTCCTCCTTTTCGTTTATAGACTGAAACTTAACCAGGGATTCACTTCCATTCTTTTGGGGCAATTTGTCGAACAGCTGGTATTCGATATTTTCAGAATGTTTCTTTGCTAAATCATCATCTTTCATTGTTGAATCATCGCTTGCTAAAGGGTGACCAGTCTCTAAATGCTTGGCACTAGAGTTAAGCAAGCTCTCCAACCATGCCGCATTCATCGACACTACCGAACCATCACGGAATTGAACAAAATAGAAACCTGGGTTATTATTGTCAATCTGATAAGCATATGGAACATGATAAGAGTACGGACGTGAGTCACCATAGTAATACTCACACCCATAGGAATTGGAACTTAGGGCTGGAATGTGATATTGATGAGCTAGACTGTAATACTGATGAGAGTAAGTGTATGCATATGGATTTTCATTATAATGCTCAACCCCGGAGAACTCTCGATAGGTATGTGTATTTGCACCGGAATACTAATGATATGCAAATGGGTAGCTGGCAACCCATTGCCCACTCTCCGACCTTTGAACCCCACACTGATTTAGTGAAATATAGGAGGTCCTAGAAAGATGTTGATATCGTTCTTCTACATGCTGCAACTTTTTGTTCGATCTATCAATGAAAGCTTGGATCTGTTGCTCTAACTGATTCGAACATCCACTGGAATTCATATTTTTCCGTCTCTCCGCTATTAACACCAATGGCCAGCAGAGAATCGTCGGCTCTGATACCAAATGTAGCGATTCCCGAACGGGAAAAGCCATAAAAATGAACTAAGAAAACAGAGAAAACAAGAAGATAAAATTTAATTTTTCATTCAACTGGAAATGGACAAGTACAAAGGAATATAAAGAAAGCAAAAATAACTTCCTAACAAACTAGACACGTGGATGCTAATTACGCTTCTACCTTTAGGGATTCAACAGTAAATAACTAAGGACTCAATTTGACAATAAGTAAACTAATGATCTAAGAATTATAATTAATTAGACTTCAGAGACTAAACCTTTAAAGACCAGTATTTATCTTTAAAACCACAATACGTCTCCACTGTTACATATCGATTGTGGGTTCAGAGATCTTGCGACGGGAGGAAAACAATTGGAGGGGAGGGGAGGCAGAGGGATTGACGGTAGCGGTGGTTGAGGACGGCCGACTGGTGCTCTCAAAAGTTGAGAGAGATGAGAGATAGGTGAGGGGGCCGCTGGTCTCTCTTGATTGAGAGAATGATATATTGAAAAATAAAATTAGGGTCTTATTGTGTGCAAAATCTTATGGGTATATCTTGTTTGTGTAAGGTGTAGTGTATTTGTATAGTGGGTGTGTGTAAGAAATTATGTGGACATAATTTAAGCAAAATAAAATGCAAAATAAAAAGAAAACTTATGTGGCCCAAATGAAAGGATGTAATGTCACATCGGTGTCATATCATGTCATAGTCATGTGACATCAATGCCTAGTCACATCAATGTCATGCCGCATCAATGTTTAGTTGTGTCAATGTCATGTCACATCAGATATTGACGGGACATTTAATTTAACCGAGCCTGATCCTTATTTTGAAATTAATTCTACTGGCTTCGATATAATTAAATAGACTGTGCTACAAAATAAAATATGATTTTTTAATTAGAAAATCTCATAGTATTTATTTAAAATGTAACTACTACAATGGTATTGTAGTAATTATTATTTTATTTTTGAAAAGACAATAAATTGACAGAATATCCTAATATTTGAAAAATAGGACCATTATTAATAAATCGCTTAAAATTTAGAAAAAACGCACAAAAACTGCAGTATTTAACTAATTGTAATTAAACAATAAAAAATTTCATATTTTGTAAAAATAGGAGTAATTTTCAATAAACTGCATTAAAGTTAAATAGTGTGTAAAAACTACATTTTTATCATTTTTTGACAAGGAAGCCTGTAGAATTTAATTTTTAAATTCGGAGGGTCAAAATTGACTGTCAACAATGCCAATACAACCTGTTGTTCTAGTTCAACTCGTGGTTAGGGCAGCAGCATCTAAGGAGGAACAACTTAGACTTGCGAGGTTCAAGAAGTATTACCCTCCTACCTTTAGTTGTTTGGCTTCAGAGGATGCACATGGTTTCCTAGAGGAGTGCCACCGTATTTTCTGCACTATGGGTATTGTGAAGATGAGTGGAGTTGCTTTTACTACATTCCAACTTAAGGGAGCGACATATCAGTGGTGGCGAGTGTACGAGTTGGGTAGCCCGGCCGATGCAGCTTCACTTTCATGGGCACAGTTCTCAGAGATGTTCTTGAGAAAGTTTGTTCCCCAGACTCTTCGGGATGCATGGCACGCGGAGTTTGAGCAGCTGCACTAGGGCAACAGTGTCAGAGTATGCCATTAGATTCAGTGATTTGTCCAGATATGCACTTACTTTGGTTTCTACAGTATGTGTTGTATTTTGTTAGAGGAGTTGAATTAGTGGAAGGTTTCAGTTGGTATGATGTGTATACTACTCGTGATTCAGAGTTGAGGATGGGGTCCTCGCGTTTTCATGAGGGTTGATATGTTTGGACCGGGCTATGTGCCGCGGTGGAGTTATATTAGGATGAGTTCCTTGTTATTAGTTGATATGTCTTGATTCTCCATTGTGGAATTGATTCGTAGTATGATGCTGATAGGGAATGGTGCATGTTGGGCTTGTTTAATAGTCCTCTCATGTGCTTCTTTTTGCATATTCAATTATATCTGCGTTGTGCTTATTGGGTTTTAGCTCGCGAGGTTTGTGCCCAGATGGCGTTAGAGGTGACTTGTTGATTCGGCTGAATGGTTATGAGATCCTCATGTTTCTTGGATTGTTGTCAGCATTGTGAAGGTCTGGAATGATGTTTTAGTTGTGATGAGGTTAATTGTTGGTGCTGGATTTGATTATGGGCAGCTATGGCGGTCAGAGATGTTGTTATGGGCATATGTGTGATGTGTTAAATCGTGTGGTTGTACCTTGTGGGTGTAGGTATGAGTTGTTGCAGCTGGTTGAGGCTGATACTGTGTGTGGATGTGGGAATCGAGTCTTTGGGAAATGATCCGATAGTGGAAAATAAAATGGTTCTAAGGCTTAATAGTGTTGATGGAAGGAAAACTCTCCAGTTGGGATGGTGTCGTCAGGCCTATGTGGTTTGGGGTGACGTGGGATCACCCGCGAGTATATGTATATTGAGTTCATTCACTAATTAATGACTTCAGAATGGTTCTTAGCACGTTCGAGCACGAACGTTTGTTTAAGAGGGGGAGTACGTAACGACTTGGCCGGTCATTTTGAGAGTTAGCATCCCGTTCTGTGGTTTAAGGTCTCGAGCAGCTTTGTATTATGTATTATGACTTGCGTGGGTGGTCGAGTTTAGATTTCGGATGATTCGGAAGAGGATTCTTGCTTAAGAAGCTTAAGTGAAAAGCGTTGACCGGAGTTTTGACTTTTATGTAGATGAATCCAGAATGTTGTTTTGATGATTCCAATAGGTTCGTATGGCGATTTTGGACTTAGGCGTGTGTCCGAATTTGGATTTGGAGGTCTCTAGGTTAATTTGATGTTTTTTGGCAAAAATTAGACAGTTGAAGGTTTGGAAGTCGAGAGGTTTGACCGGGAGTTTACTTTGTTGATATCGGGTTCGGATTTCGATTCTGGGAGTTGGTATAGTCCTGTTGTGTCATTTGGAACTTCCATGCAAAATTCATTCTAGGTTGGTTTGATATGTTTCGGCGCAAGTTGTAGAAGTTGAAAGTTCATAAGTTCATTAAGTTCGATTTGAGGTGTGATTCATAGTTTTGATGTTGTTTGATGTGATTTGAAGCCTCGAGCAGGTCCGCGTTATGTTATGGAACTTGTTGGTATGTTTCAACGGGGTCCTAGAGGTCTCGGGTACTGGCCATTTCGTCCTATTTTGGAAGGTTATTTGCTGGTGTCTGATGTTCTTCTCTGCGATCGCAAAGGGTCGACCGCGATCGCGAAGGCTGTTTGGCAGTTGGTCCTATTTCTTTCTTCGCATTTGCATGGTATTGTTCGCGATCGCGTAAGTGTAGGTTCTTCTCCATCACGTTCGCATTTGTTGTTTCGCGATCGTGTAGTGGCCGATCATTCTAGTAAGGCCAGGTTTAGTGTTCTTCGCGTTAGCGTCATATGGTTCGTGATCGTGTAAGTGGAGGTCGATGTGAATCGTGTTCACGTTTGTTCTTCCGCCTTCGTGTAGAACTTGTTTTGTGGGGGCAACGTCATTTCTTCTTCGCGATCGCATGAATTATTTCGCGATCGCGTAGTGCATTTTTGGGGCAGTTATTGTTTCTTCTTCGCGATCGCATGTGTATTTCCGCGATCGCGATATGCAAATACCTGGGAAGCAGATATTAATTCCCAAATCGGGGGTTTTGTTCCATTTATCATCTTTTGAGCTAGATTCCTTGGATTTGAGTGATATTTGAGGGGTTCTTTGCATGTTGGATTTGGGTAGGTGTTCTACGCCTGGAATTGATTATATTTCATGATTTCATCTTTATTTTTATCATTAAATTAGTGGTTTTAGTTGTGGAAAAATGGGAATTTTGTGAAAACTTTCAAAAATGTAAAATGATGATTTGGAGGACGAATTGATATCGGAATTGGATAATTTTGGTATGGTTGGACTCGTATTGTAACGGGTGTTTGAATTTTGTGAATTTTATCGGGTTCTGAGGTGCGGGCTCGGGGTTGACTCTTTGGGTTGGCTTTTTAGTTTTTGTTAAAGATTGAAGCTTTATTATCCGGATTTGTTTCCTATTGCTTTTACTCATGAGATGAAGTTATTTTGGCTAGATTTGAGCCGTCTGGAGGTTGTTTCACATGAGAATGTCATTTTATAGTATCGGTCTAGCTTTTTTGAGGTAAGTATCTTGCCTAATTTTTTGTGGGATAACTACCCCTTAGGGTTTGAGTTTTGTGCTAATTGTGTCATGTGAAGGTCGTGTACGTGAGGTGACGAGTACGTACTCGGGCTTATTTGTGGGAATTTGACCTTTTTAGGCTATTAGGTTCTTATGTCCATCAAAAATGAAGTTCTCTTATCGTGTTAAATCCCCCACCTACTAAATACACCCTTACGTGCTTTATTTGAAGTTGATCGATTCATGTTCTACCCTTATTGCCAATAAATTCTTTTGTGTATTAATTAAAGTTATCGCCTCTTTTATTGCCATGCCGTCTTTTCCGTAATATGTTAACTTTAATTGAAGTTATTGATGTCTTTTCCGTAATTGCTTATCCTTAGTTGAAGTTATTGTTATTATCTCTCCCGTAATCGCTTAACTTTAATTGAAGTTTTGTTATCTCTTTCATTGTTTACTTATCCTTATTTGAAATCATTGACTTAGGCTATCTCTCTTATCGTCGAGTTGTGCTTATGTGGAATCATTGTGATACATTATCTCTTCCCATGTTGAGCTATTCTTGTTGAAACTATTATTCCCTGTTGTGTCTTTCGTTGTGAGCTCGTTCTTCTGTTTCTTTGTGTTCTATAGTTCTTGTGTTGATTTACTTGTCGTACTCTCGTATTATTATTGTTGTTGTTGTTGTTGTTGTAATTGTTGTTATTGTTGCACTCAATGTTGTTCAGCCGCGGGCTATGCGTGGTTGTGGTATTTAAATTGTTTTGAGGAAACGTTGTGGCATATGAGCACATGCGGTAAAAGATCTTATTTTGAGTTTTTGGCACACATGGTATTATTGAGAGGATTGTCGGGGTATTCGCACGTGAGTTGTCCGTGCTTTTCTTACTATTGATATTTGCACATGCGGCGTGACAAGCCGGGCTATATATATGTGGGTTTGCGCATATGGCAAGAGAATGTGGGAATATTATTATGCGCGTGCGGCGAGAAAAGACGGGCATTTACTTTATTGTTGCGCACGTGGCGAGACAAGGTGGGCTATGTCGGGGATAATTTGTGATGACTTGTGATGGCCTGGGGGCATTGTTACTGATGATATTTATGTAGTGGTTTACCTACCTGGTGTAAGTTATGAATTTTACATCTTGTTGTGTTGTTTCCTATGTGCCATTTATTGTCTCTATTCTTACATGTTGACTCGAGTTGTGATAGAATACTTGCACAAGCATACACGTAATTAATCACTCATATTAGTTTGATAAAATGAACACTAATGTCTATTGACCATTTACATATATTCTCGTATACTTGCCTTCTGTGTGAAAGTTATTCTTCTGGCACATGAGTTGTCTGTGCGGTCATGTTCATTATT